TAAAAAATAAATAAATTTAAATAAAATAATTCTTTTAAAAGTTTTTTTTTTTTTTAATCTTTGCTATAGGGCGTGTGCGCTCGCTCACCAGAAAGGCAGAGACAGAGACAGAAAGCGAGAAATCACCCACCTTAATGTAATCTGTCATCTCTTGTTCCTAAAATCTTTTTTTTGTTGTTGTTGTTGAAAGGTTTTTGCTATAGGGTGCGTGCGCTCGCCAGACAGACAGACAGAGACAGAGAAACAGAAAGCGAGAAATCACCCCCCAGGGGGGATGGCCACACCGCAATCCTTTCTTCTTCATTCTCCTCTTGGGATCTTGGGCACGCACGCACATGCGCCCGGCGTGAGTTTTAAGCCACTGGGTCCAGGATGCAAACTGCGGTCGACTACATAGGAGTCCAGTTACATAGCCATTACGCTAACTGCTGGTCCCATTGTTCCTAAAATCTTTTTAAAATTATTTTATTTAACTTTATTTATTATTATTATTTTAATATTTCCAGAGAGAGAGAAAGTGAGAAAGCAAGTCTCCAGGTCTGGGACTCAAACCATGGTCAACCATGTGGGAGTCCAGCGCCCTTAACCACCATGCCACCTGCCGGCCCCCCTAGTTTTTGTTATTGGTCACATGCCCTTGGCAGAGAGAGTGAGAAAGAGGAAAAATGAGAGATCAACTGCCAGAGGAGATGGACATACTACAATCTCTTCTCTAGTATTCTCTTGGGATTTTGGGCACACATGCATATGTACCTGGTGTTTTGCTAGCTTCTAGGTCCAGGACTTGAACCATGCTTTGGGCCAGATGGGATCCAGCCACCTTGACCTTTGTGCTACCTCGCTGACCAGTTGGTCTTTAACCTTTTGTTTGTTTGGGACCTGCAGGTGGCGTGGTGGTTAAAGGTGCTGGGCTCCCACATAGCTGACTGTGGTTCAAGTCCCAGACCTTATGGCTTCCTTTCTCACTTTCTCTTTCTCTGTCCGTCTCTGGTCAAATTAGAACATAACCATAATAATAATAATAATAAAATAAAGTTAAAATAAAATAATTCTTTAAAAATTTTTTTGTTTGTTTGTTTTTGCTATAGGGTGCATGTGTTGGCCAGAGAGAGAGAAAGAGAGAGAGGGGAAGTGAGAAATCACCCCCTGGGAAATGACCATGCCATAATCCCTTCTCTTTAGTTCTTCTTTTGAGATTTTGGGTATGCATACACATGCATCTGACATATTTTCCAAGCTGCTGGGTCTGGCCATGTGGGATCCAGCAATATTAACCACCATGCCACCTAACTGACCCTGCTTTGTTTTTTATTTAATTAATTTTCTCATTATTATTAATTCTTCTTTGTTTTATTGAGTTTATTCTGTTCTTTTTTTCTGGCACATTATATTGAGCACTTAGCTCTTTTTTTTTTCTCATTTTTCTTTGCTTTTTGTCTTATTTATAGTTTTTTATTTTTTTTAAAGAATTATTTAATTTTATTTATTTTAATTTGACCAGAGATAGATACAGAGAGGAAGAGAGAGAGGGAAAATGAGAAAGCAAGCCACCAAGTCCAGGATTCAAACCACAGTCGGCCATGTGGGAATGTCCAGCACTTTAACCACTGTGCCACCTCCTGGCCCCAGTTTTTTATTTTTAGAGACAGAGTCTAGCTATGTTGCTCCGACTGGCTTTGAACTCAGGATCCTCCTGCCCCATTCTTCCAAGTAGAGGGATAATAGGTGTGCACCACCATACCGCACACTATTTTTTTTTTTTTTTTAAGAATTCTTTTGTTTAACTTTATTTATTTTAATTTGACCAGAAAGGGACAGAATGAGAGAGAAAGGAAGTCACCAGATCCAGGACTCGAACCGTGGTCAGCCATGTGGGAGTCCAGCACCCTTAATCACCACGCCACCTGCTGGCCCCTGTTTTTTTAATAACTGTATTCCATGGACTGGCCCTGTAATGTAGCATTTAAGCACTGTGCAGAGGAAGCTGAATCCCATATGGCTGACCAGGGTTCGAATCTTGACGCTGGTGGCTTACATGCTGGACAAGTGCAAGCATGCCCAGGATCTTGATGGGGTAGAGAATCAGAAGAAGGGATTACAGCACGATCAGGTCCTGTTGGGGAGAACTTTCGTGCTCTCTGTGTGT